CGGTGAGGGTCCCACATGGTGCGACAGACCTCTCCTGCCATGCCCGCTGCTCCCCTCAGCAGTGTATTTCGTCAGTCTGCCTGTTCTGTTCCCCACTCTGGCTCTGGTGAATCCTCTCACCCTCCCATGCTTCTGACTGTACCCAGGGCTTGTATAAATAAATAAATACATCTTAAAAATTTTTGTTTTAGTTATATAACTTTTATTGAATTATCATTGGTTCACAACACTGTATATGATTTAGAAATATAGATTCACATCTCTTCAGAGGTATGTTACACACTACACCCAATATCAAAGCACCCATAGTCTTCTATCCACTCCTTTGTCATTGGGCCCCTGTCTCTGTTTACTACCCACTCCCCTGCCTTCTCTGGTAGACTCAATTCTACAGTTGTGTTTTGGTTTAGTTTTGTCTGTTGCTTTATTTCTTTATATTCTACATATAAATAAAATCATCTGGTTTTTGTCTTTCTCTTGATATTCTTTGCTTAACATAATCCCCTCCACTTCTACTCATACTTTTGTAACATATGGCAAGATTTCATCTTTTTTTTTTTAGCTGAGTAGTATTCTATTGTGGACATATAGTACATCTTCATCCACTCCTCTGTCATTGGCCACTTTGATTGATTTTGTAATTTGGCTATGGTAAATAATGCTGCAGTGAATACAGGAGTACAGCAAATACTGATGAGGATGTGGAGGAAAAGGAGCCTCATACACTCTGGGTAAAAGTGTACACTTGACCAACCCCTATGAAAAACTCTATGGAGTTACCTCAAAATAATAAAAATAGATATACCATATAATTCATTAAGTCTACTGCTTAGTAACTATCCAAGAGAAGACAAAAACACTAATTTAAAGGAACATACCTATTTATTGTGGTTTTGGTTTGTATTTCCCTGATGATAAGCTAGATTTCATGGAGGAATTATGATATAGTTAAAACTAGGAGAATAGAACATTGCCTCTCTAAAATTATATGTGAAATTGTGTGTGTAATTTCATAGTGAATGTCTACACATGTGCATGTTCATTTGCATGTGTCACACAAGTATCTTGCTACCATCGAGAACTGTGTAATCCAAAAAGAGTAAGCAGTGCTGATATAGGGTATAATGCAGAACTATTATGAAAAATTGTCTTAACCAAGACAGCTTTTAAACATGATTTTACACCATGATCATGGATTTTTCTCCTATTATTAAATATGACATCTCCAATTTGACAGTGATTACAAATAATACAATTCAGTTTCAAAATAAACATTCGAAAACATAAACATTTTTATTCAAGTTTTTAAAATTTAAGAATTGACCAAATATATAGCTTTTAAGATAGTTTCAGAGTTTTGTTTTGCCTTAATCTGGTGATATTTGTAAGAACAGCCCATTAGTGGAAGACGAACATGACCATGTGGAAATTTGTTCTGCACCAGAGTACTTTCTCTGTGTATCTGTTGCTCATTTTATGTTTTCTCTAAGCAGTACCAAAATTAATGAACTTGCAATAATGAGAATGTAAAGATAGTCCAATTCTTCTATACTTTTATTTTCTAATTTCAAAACATTATTGTACTAGAAAGGTTGCTAGAGATGCCAACACATTTAATAAATATAAATTAAAAAATCATAAACTACTGAGTCCAATTACTTTGATTTACCACCTATGGTAAATATATGTAAAAACCAAATCTAGGTAAAAACTAAATCTGTTTTTCTCTTTTAAATAATTTAAACTCTAAGTTCATTTTTTAATATGACATAAACCAGTAGATACTTGGAGAAATTGAGTTTTATATGTCTGGAATAAAATTGCATTAATAAATTTTAAGAAGAGTTGAACATTTTCTAAAAATGTTTTTCTAGAACATTTGACTCTGTGTGTCTCATACAGGTCAAGCACTTTAAATAGTGCCGATATAAAGTAAATATTCAGTAAATATTGGCTCTTGTTCTTAACAATTATAGTCTGATAGATTGACTATCGAATGTAATGTTTTAGTACCCTATATGGATTTAATTTTAAAGTACTGGAAAGTAAGCACAATAATGAATTTCTTGAAGCCAAGAGTCAATGAGATGTCATGTTACCAATAAAAGGAGTATGTGTGTGTGTACATATTGGTAAGTCAAATGTAATTTATTCTTCCCTATTGCCACATTATCTAAACTATAATTTGAATATTAAGATTGAAATAATGTTTCTCTCAAAGTGTCCATAACAAAACACTACCTTTAGAATTGACAAGAATGTATTTTTAAAATGATGTTTCAGGGAGTAAAGATGTTTAGGTGCATTAGGGAGCTCCCTTTGTGTCATGGTTATATAGGGGACAAGATTAAGTGAAGCTTGTTCAAGAGTAACAAAGGAAACATGTCAACCTCGTTCTAAAAGTTCAGAACCCCCCTTTTAACATTAGACTTCGGAAGTGATAGATCACTGCTAACTGCAGAAGCTTATCCTTAGAGTTCATGAAACTTGAGGAAATGCATGCTGCTGATCTGAACCACAAATGCATTTGATAGTAGACTGTCTAGATGCTTACCTGTCAACAAATGGAAGAGAACATGTGGTGTCCTTCCTTCAGTCTGATAAATGCAATCCCATGGAAGAAACTGAAAATGATAGGACTTCCTTGAGTAAAGACTGTGCCAGCACTCCTTAACACACTATTCACCATGCAAATGAACAATGGAAATCCCTCACTGAAACATCTGTTAGCAACATAAAGCTGTTAACACAGTGCTAGAGGCTGATTATAGTCAGCCAGGTGAAATAGTGATAAGATAAATATTCCTACTTGAAATTGGAGTAATGCTTAATTTATTTTTATACCGTTGTGGCAACTGAGTTTAGAATGATTGCAACATGTTGAATCCTTTAAGATAGGCCCTTCCACTTTGCAAGGTGTAGAAAATTAGAGACATGAAAAATGAGGTATTATTGTATTTTCTGGAATCACTAGACTTGACCTCACATGATTTGGGTGTCATCCCTTCTCCTGATGATGATGCCATATGAAGATGTCATCTTCATTTATGGCAAGTGAAGGTCACCTGCCAAATTATTACTTGTAAAGTTTATCATTGTACAGTATGAAAGTAGGATATAAAATAGGAACATTCAAAGGGAAGCTAAAAGTAGGGTATTTCTGCTTTTGATCCTGGAAAGATGTGAGAAGAAAGATCTGAGCAAAGTGAATACATCGAATTTGCTCTTTTGGTTTGCATGTGAGCATGAAGCTAATAAGCTACTGTGTAATACTTGTCATTCATAAAACTATTCCTTGATTTACTGAATTTGTTATTGCTGCTAGGAGGGAAGGAGGGATGGAGAGAGGGAAAGGGAGAGAAAGAGAGAGACAGAGAGAACGCAAGAGAACACATGTGCACCCTTGCATTTATGATGGGCTTTAAATACATAATTCTAGTAGTAGTGTACTGTAACTTAGCCTGCAGCACCTTGTCCAAGTATGTAATAACTAAAGCATCATCTGTAAAAATATTGTCTGTGGAATATCAGTCAAGACATAGTAATTGTTGGAGATGTAGTCTGTGATGTTTGTAAGAAATTTGAACCATTTTGGATTTAGCCTAATAATTTTGAAGGTTCTGTTGCAAAAATTTTTGCCTTTTATTTTCCCCTGCATTGCCTCAGCCCACACTAACAAACTCATGCTTACACCATAGCAAGAATCCTTGTTCTCACTAATATCCATTAACAATCTAATGAGCAGATTATGTTTGTATTGATGTCTCTATTTTTAAAATTTAGAATGACATTTATCAAATATTTTTAATAAAAAAATATTTGCCTTAGCCTTAAAAACATTAGATATCAAATCAGTGTGATTTTCTTTTTCGTGTCAACAGATCCAATGTGCATGTCCTAAATAAAGAAGAAATATACAAATATGGACTTAATTGGTTATCCTTAATAATAAATTTTCATGCACTCAGATATGTTTTAATGGAAACTATGCTGTAGAATTAAGAAATATACTTAAAAGCTAACGTCCTTAAAGATCTTAGGAGATAGATTTATTTTTAAGAAGGGCTGTGCTCTGTGGAAAGTCAAAGAATTATGAAAGTAAGAGATTATTCAAGAAAACCTAAAAGTAAGAAAACTAATTTTTCTATTTGAATATCACTCTTCTTGAAAATGTCTGGAAAATCAATTTAATGTGTTTTATACAAATATACCCCAAATATTATACAGATGGCCAGAGTTATGCTAGAAATTATGGGGGAAATAATGACAGAAAGAACACCAAAGTATGTTTAAATTTTAGAATTATGGAGTCACTTCTTTTCATACATATACACAATTATGAAAAGACAGATTTCAAGAAACTTTACTATGTAAGGGAAATGAGTTTTAAAGTGCAGAATAGCAAAGATTATTAACAGGAAACAGTGCTTAAGGTAGCAAATGGAATTGAAAATCTCTTCAGCATAAGCAGAAATAAATTTGCAATATTCCTATCTGATGTCAAAATAGCCTGTGTGATTGATGCTTTCTAGAAAACATGAGAAGTTGGTGAACTGGAAGAGGACTATGCTTTAATTACAAACTTTACCAATAGGAGGCAACTACTTGAAATAATGTTGTTTGTTTAAATATTATGATGTTATGACAAAGTTTTATTCAGATGACTGCTACATTTATATTCACAGGAAAATCTAGGACTATCAAACGCAGAGAAATATGCAAATTTAATCAATATAGATGCTGCATAAGCCCATATCACCATTTGTATTCATTTTAAAGGAGAAAGTGTCCCTGTTTTTTTTTTTTTTTTTCTTGTAAGTTGTTCTTTGACTCACTCCGGTGCTAGCCTGTCAAGTTAATGTATTTTTTTTTAAATTTTTCTTTATTCAGTTTACTCTTGCAGAATGACATTTCACTTTTTACTTTAATGTTTCAACTGAATAAGCCACTTACCAATTTAAGAGTTCACTGAATTAGGTTTTTTTTCCTTCGTTTTTCAGGAAGTTGATGGCAATAAAGTTATGTCTTCATTTGCCCCACACAACTCATCTACCTCACCTCAGAAGGCAGACGAAGGTGGGCGGCAGAGTGGCGAGTCCTTGTCTAGTACAGCCCTGGGAACACCTGAACGGCGCAAAGGCAGCTTAGCTGATGTGGTTGACACCTTGAAGCAGAGGAAGATGGAAGAGCTCATCAAGAACGAGCCGGAAGGTAAAGGCTGGAAAGGAAAAAAATGTTGCCATACCCTGATTTGAATAGTTTGATTTAACCTCCAGTTCTGTTTTTTTTTTTTTTTTTTTGACTTATACTCCCCAAATTAAATTGGGTAAAATGGAAACCTAATGTCATGAGGATGAATAGTGTATTTTCAGAAAGATTTATATAAGTCTATCCCATTTTTTATCATTTATTTCTGTTCTAATGTCTTCCTTATTGTCACTCATAGTTAAGTTAAAGATTCCAGAATAGATTGTGGCAGCAGAGTCCAGAATAGTTTCCACCTACATGCTAAATATCTAGTCTTATTTGTTCCTGTCCAATTCCACCCCTCCCCACCAAGCCATCTTATAACTGTGTTGCATTTTAATACATTTATCCGTTAGTGCATCTTATGCTACTTTCCTGTTTAGGTCTATTTCTTGTGTAATCCAAACTTAAAATGGTTAGGCCTAGTGCATACTTACAAATTAATGTTTCTGTAGCAATGTTAGCTATGCAGGAGTTCCCATTTTTTCAACTTCCAGGATGCCTTTCTTTTAACTTTCATCTTCTAAGTCTCTTTGCTGTTTACTGATCATCTGAAGGTGCACATGAATTAAGTTTAAAGTCAAAGCAATCTAACTGTAAAACAACTGATGCAAACTGTGTGATGTATGGATAACTGACAAATGTTTCTGAATGCCTGTTTAACTATGTCCATCCTAAGCATGACTACCATATTGTGCACAAGGACATGCAGCTTTTTCAGAGTCAGGTGAAAATACAAAACAAACAAAGACTAATGACAAAAAAAAAATACTTTACACCAAAAATATTTTGCATTTGTACTGTGTGGCCCTGAGTTGGGCTCCTTTCTAGTCTGCTGTTAGGACACTGGTAATTTGTGAGTATATCTGGCACAAATTGTGTGTTAACCAGTATATTTGGGAGTCATGTGGTAATTAAATATTTCTGGATCCCTACCAGATGCATAGCTGGGACATGGATTTTAGTTAAAATTTATGTAATTCACATGATCTTACAGTTGGAAGGAATTTTAGAGATAATCTAGTCAGCCAAAGTCTTTTTGGCTCCCATCTGTATGGAGATAAAAATGGGGTTTAGAGGGGAACCCAGGCAACTTTTTTTTTTACTATGCTGGAATTTTTGTTTATAATAAATTTAGTATTATCTTATTATAAAAATTGTTTGAAAAACTAGAAAAAATAAAAGGAAGAGAATAAAACTCACTCAAAATCATAGCTTTCTGATATAATGACTTTTTTTAATCTTTGTTTTTACATGTTCTTTTGGTTTTGCATTTAACTTTATGCTTTTAAAAATCTTTTGCCTTTATTTGTATTGTGATAACATTATTAATTCAAGAGCATAGTTCATTCACATGTCTTTAGTTTTCACCAACTGTACTTTTTCTGTTCTTGGATGCCATCCAGGGTAGCATGTTACATTTAATTGTCATGTCTCCTTGGCCTCCTTTGGACTGTGATCATTTCAGAGACTGTCCTTGTTTTTGTTAATCTTGAAACTTTTCAGGAATATTGTACATATATGTTGTTGAATACACCTTTACTAGAATTTGTCTTGTGGTTTTCTACTAATTGGGGCTGTATGTTTTGGTTGAAACCTCACAGTGTGAAAGTACTGTTTTGGTCATATCTTATTGAGAGGTGTATGATTGTTGACATTGATTACATTGTTGACATTGTTGACATTGTCTGCTGTGTCTTTCATGTTTCTCCATGAGCGTTACTTCCTGTGCCCTTCCCATACCATACTCTTTGGAAGAAAGGTGCTTGACCAACCTACATTAAAAGAGTAGGGAGTTGCCCTTCCTTCCTTTAGAATGGAGTATCAACTTATTTACTTGACATTCTTCTGCATGGGAGATTTATTTCTTTTACTCCATTTATTATTGTAAACTATTATTAATTTATAGCTATATGGGGTCTTGGATATTTATTTTGTAGTTTGAATTTTAATCTAGTTCTAATTTATTTATTTTGTTGCTCTTAATTGTACCAGCCTTACAAATAGAAAGCTCTTTCCATTCACATAGGTTTCACTTTGACATACCACTGTGACTGTGGGTAATTTTCTTGAACACTACTAGATGTTGCAGACTTATCTTGTTTATCACTTACCTCAATCCTAGCACTGGCTATTTCTCTTGGAAGTTCTGGTCCCTTTAATTGGAGAATGGTATTAAAAGCATGATCTGGATGCTTCACCTATTCATCCCTCCTTCTTTCCCCAGAGTCCCTGGCAATGACTAATCTTTCCACTATGTTTATAGTTTGGCCTTTTTTTTTTTTTTGAATGTCATGTAATTAGAATCATGCAGTAGTAGCCTTTCAAGCTGGCTTCTTTCTCTTAACAATGTGCATATAAGGGTCTTTCATGTCTGGTCATTGCTTGTTAGCTCATATCTTTGTAGCACTAAATAATTGATCTTGTTAAGAATGTCCCACAATTTGTTCAACCACTCACCTATCAAAGGACATCTTAATTCCTACAAGTTGTTGATTATATGAATAAAACTTATGTAAATATTAATGGTTTTGGTGTAGACATGAGTTTTTAATTCAGCTGTATGAATATCTAGGAATGTGATTGCTGAGATGTGCAGTAAGATATGCCAGTCTATGTAAGAAACTGCCAGTCTATCTTCCAAAGGGGCAGTAAGATTTTGTATTCTAACTAGCATTGACTCTAAGTTCCTTATGCTCCATTCTCACCAACATTTGATATTGTCAGGTTTTTGTATTTTATCCAATCAAATTGGTTTGTAGTGATGTCTCGTTATTTTAAATTTATAATTACGAATAACAAGTGATGCCCAGCTTTTTCTCATAGGCTTATTTACCATCTGTAAATCTATGTTTAGAACTTTCCCGCTTTCATTGATTCATTAGTTTTCTTTCTGTTGAGTTTTAAAGGTTCTCTGTATATTTTTTTACAAGCCCCTTATCAGATAAATGCTTTGCTAATACTTTTTTTCAGGCAATGTTTTAACATTGTCTTTTGAAGAACAAAATTTTTAACTTTTACTAAAGTTTAGCATATCAATTTTGTCTTGCATGTATCATGCTTTTTAAATACACATTGCCAATTCCAATTCTGTTGTCATTTAGATTTTCTATTTTATCTTCCAGAAGTTTGGCATTTTGCAGTTTAAGCCCGTGATCTGTTATGAGTTAATTTTGTAAAGAGTTCTGTGTCTAGTTCATTTTGTTTGCATGTAGATGTTCAGTTGTCAGTGTCATTTGTTGAAAAGACAATCATATCTGCATTGAATTACTCTGTTCTTTCACAAAAGATTAGTTAACTATGTATGTACGGTCCTTTTTCTGCTCTCTGTATAATATTATGTTGATCCGTTTGATTGTTGTCCTGAAAACTGTAACTTGATACCTACAAAATAACTTGCTAGGATTTTGATTTATATTGGGTTGAATCTATAGATAAATTTGGGAAGAATTGACATTTTAATAGCCTTTCTGTCCATGAATACAACATATTTCTCCATTTATTAAGATCTTTTTTAAATTCATTCACCATTTTTTGTTTTCCATATATAGATCCTGTACATACATTGCTACATTTTTTCCTTATCTTTTGGGAGTGATAATATAAACCATATTGTGTTTTTAAATTTCAAATTCCAATTGTTCATTGCTAGCATATAGTAAAGCAGTTTAGCTTTTATATCCTCTGAACTTGCTGTCTTTCTTCAATTGCTCAAGGAGTTTTTGTTGATTCTTCAGTATTTTTACATAAACATACTTGTCCTGGAAAAAAGGCTAGCTTTATTTCTTCCTCCACAAACAATATACATTTTATTTCCCTTTTCTTATCTAATTGCAATAGCTGGCTTTCAGTACAGTGTTGAATAAAAATGGTAAAGGTTTATTCCTTGCTTTGCTCTTCATTGTAAGGAGAAGGCATCTAGTTCTTAACATGAATCATGATATTAAGCTATAGGGTTTTGTACATGTTGTTTATCAAATTGAGGAAGTTTTTTTTTTAAATTATGAATGGTTCTTAGAATTTGTGGAATAATTTTCTGTATCTATTGATATTATGCTAAGATTTGTTTTTTCCTTTAGCCTCATCTTGTGATGTGACTTTGGAATTTTGAACCAGCCCTGTAACCTTGGAATAAAGCCCACTCAGTTGTGGTTGATGGTTCCTTTTATATACTATTGGATTCAATTCACCACTACTTCATTGGGGACTTTTGTGTATGTGAGAGATACTGTTCTCTTGTTTTTCTTTTGTGTCATGTATTTGTCTATTCTGTTAGTAGGATAATTCTGGCTTCACAGAAAGAACTAGGAAGTGTGGTACTTATATGTTAGTTTTTTTTTTTTGTTTTGTTTTGTTTTTTTTTTTTTTGAGATGTGTTCATGGCCTGGGACTGAGGTCTAGGAAGAACACTCACTGCAGTGGGCATGTATTGTATGACAGAGTAGTTTTGTGGGAGTGTGTCTTTACATAGTATTCTCTCTGGAAATTTGGTGTATTATTGTTATTCCCCCATAGTGGTATGGTGACTTCCAAGTGTATGCATGCATACTCTTTATTTGGAAGTACATGATAGGTCAATGCTAAATGAATAATTCCCATTTGGAAAGGACAGGAGACAGTGCCACCAATTTGTATAGCAGGAGGCACTCAAGTTTCAGGTATTAGAAGAAAAGTATTATACCTAGTAACAGCTATGTGGGTGAAAGAAAAAAGGTAAAGCATCCATAGCAGGAACAATGGACACAAAGAACCATCACTATTGCATGTGGACATTAGTCTATTTTTATTACTATATTTCCTATAAATTTCTTCATACTTTTTCTCTCTACAAATATTTTAAGAAATCAGTTTAAGTGTGATGTTTTAAAGAATAATATAAAGGCACTGAAAAAGTACAGAGATAGTCTTTTTTTTTAAAGATTTATTTATTTATTTATTTATACAAGCACTGGGTACAGTCCAAA